CAAAGTGATATCAATATAAGGGTCATTAAAATCAGTCATCTAACATAGATATCGCGTAACATATTAGTTTTCGAGAAAAAATATCATGACGTGATATTGATTTACACGAAGGGATTTATTCACTGTACCATGACAACGGAGTAGTATTCTCTTTTCTTAAGAAATATACAGCCTCGCCTTGTTATAGACCTCAGTAAAGCTTTCAAGAAATTTTATGGTAGACATGTGGAGGAAATTTCAAATTTGATGCATCAGTGACAAAAATTATGTCCGATGCAATTCTCTAGTTTGACTTGTACCATACGTTCCCGAAGTACTTCAGGTGAACAAATGACTAGACTTAACATATGTTTGTGACGGGTGCCATCGGTGGGGCAGGATACGCTCACCTTTTCGCGAACACCTGGCATCATAAACACATGCTCTGTCATCGTATCGCATGGTGACAATCACTGCATCGTCTGGTTCAGAAACGATTTGTTTACAAACAACATCACACAGCTGTAATACTGCTGAAACAAATATCTGCTCACATGATATAGTCACAATTGTACAATCGACTCTGCTCGGCAGAGATTACTTATGAATGTGGAAAGAGGTTTTGTCGCTTCTGTTTATATGTAACGTTACAACACTTCTTTGAGTGGCATTTTAGAAGTTGGGAAGTACAATATAGAACAAACTTTATAGAACAACCTCTTTTTATTCGTGAGTGCTGGCATTTTAGAAGTTGGGAAGTACAATATAGAACAAACTTTATGGATAACAACGTCTTTTTATTCGCGAGTGCGACGTTTCGATACAGATTCTTGTACCGTTGTCAAGCATAATGGAACATGAAGAAGGGGAAGTATATACTTACTGGATGTAACATATAGTTTGTTCTATATTGAACGTTACAACATTTTTTAAATGACCATAACCTTTCATTTTGCGGTAATGAAGTCTAGAAACATAACAATCAGAATATAAGATTGTAAGTTATCGTAGAACAATAGGCTTTGTATCTAGGTATTTAGTCCCTTTCAAAATAGATAAAATACAAGCCAACCTCCTTCCTCGCACTCAATATGAAAGTATCTGTCCCTCAAATCCGAATTGATCTTCTGTATTACATTCTCGACCATTGGTACTGTTAAGATAGACTAAAATGTTAGACGTGTTCTTATGGTATCGATAAAACTCAAACGAAATTCGTCCGTCAAATTTGTCTTCGTGGATTATTGTGGTGTTAATACACCACATAGAGCTAGCAGTATGTGGCATTTATTCAGTTAGAGCTCTGGTTAATACACTCTGAATTTCGTTGGTGAAGCCATATTAAATTAAGAAACAATATGTTTCAATGCTGACCTAACAAATGACAACGGACATGTATCAACTGAATAACGATTACCTATGTTATATAAACGTGTGATTATAATTCAAGGACATTAGTTTCCTTCGTGAAATTTGGGCATTAAGTTAAGGCGCGAAGACTTCTTTGAGTATGTTCATTAGTTTTTGAAACAATACGAAATAACAAAAGTATCAACTTACAGAAACTGAATTGTTTTAATAATGTATTTTATAAATCATAATATATCAGAAATGGAGGGCATATAATGTACCCTATGGTACGATAATGAGAGCTGTGTCAGCATTTTGAAGTAAGCTCAAATCGATATCAATTGTTGCTCGCTTCGCCACCAAGGAAAAGGATCATAGCAAAGCATTGCGAACTGAACAACCTTTAAAGTGATCAACAGACTGCATCAGATGCAGCAAACAGGTTCCCGAGCAGCTGATGTTAGAGAGTCCCTCTAGTGCGAGTAATGTCAAAAAGTGGTAATCATAGAATCGATGGTTTCAATTCCAGTATACTATTGTCTTCTTCGTCGAAAATGAGAAATGTTGTGTTTTTAGAATATTTCGCTGAATAACAACAAACGCTAAATTACCTTCGATGCCAAGGGATGTTGGATTACTGAGAATGATCGCAAAAATAGATACATAATTATGTTTTTTTCATGTGTTTCTTTTTTCCAGTATTGCAATCGATCCCATGTGTTTCATCACGTTTATGGAGCACCACAGAGACACCAAAACCTATGGGCTTTAAATGATAGGATGGACAAACTTTACTATTTAATTTGCATATAACAGCTGTAGCCTCATGGCACTGATATTATTCATTTAGAGGGTTCCCCGATAGATCATGTCAGCTTTTGGGTGGGATCTAGGTTACACGGCCACTTGCATATTGATTACGTGCTGACTGAAGTAGTCTCTAACTGCTCTATGATTTTTGTCCCACCTCTGATCACTGATACACATGTTCTATGTTTAACGTTAATTGTATAACCATGCATCAAGACTGACTCAGAGGTATGTGTCAGGCTTTTGTGTGCTCGTGTGCACATCCCAACTATTTATTACGTAGTTATCAGATAAATCATTAAAGTGATACCATTTCATAAGTAATCTCGTAATACGTCATATCATCTGTGGTTTAAAATCTACGTCTGTGATGTTCACGTTGTTTGATTGTCCTTTGTTGACAGGTTCTGCAATAACTTCATGTGTTATGCATGTATAAATCTTCGTTGGTGTGACTAAAAAACCTCACTCACTCACTCACTCACTCACTCACTCACTCACTACTCACTCACTCACTCACTCACTCACTCACTCACTCACTCACTCACTCACTCACTACTCACTCACTCACTCACTCACTCACTCACTCACTCACTCACTCACTCACTCTTTACCTGGGCATCCGTAGTAACCCGTCACAAGTGTCGTCAACGTACTTCAGGAAGCGGGACCCCAGTAGTCATATAGTGACTTATTTTAGAACTGACAAAATATCCTCGTGTATCTAGGTTTCTAGTCTTATTAATATTCATGTGTTGTCGTTAAATGATTGATATTATGAGCAACTTCCACGACATATTCATATTTATGACATCAGTGTGAATGTCGATTGAGCACACTGAGTAATATTTGAAAACACCTTTGAAATACACATGCACAACAAACATTAGATTGAAATCACAACCAAAAAAGTGTTATGGGAATTAACCAATGTAAAAACATTTACGTAAATATAAGAATTTTTCCGATTGGTAATACACGTCTTTTAAACAAATGTCAAAGGTTGCATGGTATGGCGCTTTTAAGAAATTGCGTCTGTTAGTTTTTAAATTTTTCCAAAATCGGCAATTTGTTGTAACTTATTTGTTATAGTTTTTACTGGAACTCCAAAATACTAGTTTCAATATTGGGAACACAGAGGTCAGCATTATTTAGATGTATGTCAAACCATGCACGTGTTGATCAGAGGCTTTGAATTATACAGCTGGATGGGGCCAATATCCAACCACTAAATCAATCACAATCTCAATCAAAAACATCGAAATGTCTTTTGAAAATCAAGGAGGAACGTTTCTTCTGATTACAACGGACTTTTCTCGTGTTTGTTACCAATCACTTCATGCAACGCATCTGGTAATTTATTATCTCGTAATCCTTGGACGACAATTTTATATTATTCAATTTGTTATTTTAGGGCCGATGGAATAAATCAAAGGTTAAACTGACGATGCAAAACCTAAAGTCATGTATTTTCAAAGAAGATGTGAGTTAACGTTTTATTATTTTCCATGCGTCAAATTAAAATTTCAATAGTGGCCATGATTTTTTCACAAGTTTCATTAGAAAACAGAAAAACATGAAAGCAAACAGCGACGGAAACTGACAAATATTAAGTTCCTCGGATTCGACTGCCAACTCTCTCTGATCGTCTATTGAACTCTGTATGACCTTGTTTTTAATTTAAGCAAAACACCAGCAGAAATAACGTTAATACAACCGGACTAATAGCCCTATCTGCAGTATACACAGAATAAGCGACTGACAGAATAGTTATACCATGTAAATGAACATATTTATCTTACATTTGAAATCAAATTGCATATTACTTATCGTAAGGTATATAGCTGAATAATCAGCAAGGAGTCGCTCTGGTGTTAGCTGAAATACTAAACACAGTATATATCGTTCATTAAGGTGAAATGAAATCAAATGTGGGTATGTTCTTATTCTTATTCTCTCTTGGACGTGCACTTCCCCAAACATGAAAGTGTGTCTATTTTTATACTGAGACTTTGTCGTAACCAGGGTAACGAATTATTGGAAAACTGGATCGGTGCCGTTTCAAGGATTTCTTCCCCGATTTTGACGTTTCTTTTCAAAAAATGCTAGAATGCTATGAAATGAACATTTAGTGTGTGATTTAACGAGCGCTTCAGAAGGACCATATTTATCACACATATGATACAATGAACCACACAGTGTATATAGATGGTATACGTTATATATAATTAGAATGAAGCTGTGCACAGTAATAAGATAGATAAGCACGAAGTAAGCACGAAGTAAGCACGAAGAACGGAAGCATATATTTGATTTATATTGAGGTTGGATATGGGCGGTGAAAACAATCGATTCCTTTATCCAGAGCTGTATCCAACAAACTATTTGTTTACTGAAAACCATCAAATAATCTATTCATATCCTCTGTTAACGCAAACAGGTTATCTTTTTCAGTAATTTCCAGAAAACATACTATTCGTCGTTGTCACCACTACCAACAAACTATTCATTTGGGGCGTATTTCTGAAGAAACATTAATTTTGAAAATCTTCCCACCCAACAGATACAGGTCAATGGATGCTTCCGAAACACGATACACTGCGGGTGTTTGAGTTTTACCACTTCAGTGAAACCAGCGAGCACGTACGGTACTGGCAAACCTTGAGATATTATTAATTAGAACGGGGATTCAAACTCTCGGTGATTGGATTCTGGCACGTCTGGCACACGCAACTTTGTACAACGAATTAAGGCGCCTTAGACGCCTGCGCCACTTCTGCCCCAGGAGCAGTCAGGTGCTGATTGTGTTTGGGCATGGAAAGCACGTTATAAGTGGAGATTACACTCGTACGTAGACACGTCTAGTTACTCTGGCATAATTTGCATAATTCAAAGACGATGAAAATCGTTGAGAAGGTTTGCCGGGGGATAAAGGGGACTTTTATCCAATAATGAAATCGGGGTTGCTGTCTCAGTAGAGAAGGCGGGGATCTTGCTCCAGTAGAGAAAGTGAGGGTGTTGCCCCAGTAGAGAAGGTGAGGGTGTTGTCCCAGTAGGTAAAGTAGGGGTATTGCCCCAGCAGAGAAGGTGAGGGTGTAGCTCCAGTAGAGAAGGTGAGGGGGTTGTCCCAGTAGATGAGGCGGGGGTGTTGCCCCAGTAGAGAAGATCAGGGTGTAGTCCCAGTAGATAAGGTGGGGGTGTTGTCCCAGTAGATAAGATGGGGGTGTTTCCCATGTAGAGAAGGTGAGGGCGTTGTCCCAGTAGATAAGGTAGGGGTATTGCCCCAGCAGAAAAGGTGAGGGTGCTGCTCCAGTAGGGAAGGTGAGGGTGTCGTCCCAGTAGAGGAGGTGAGGGTGTTGTTCCAGTAGAGAAGGTGAGGGTGTTGTCCCAGTAGAGAAGGTGAGGGTGTTGCCCCAGTAGAGAAGGTGAGGGTGTTGCTCCAGTAGAGAAGGTGAGGGTGTTGCTCCAGTAGAGGAGATGAGGGCGTTGTGCCAGGAGAGAAGGTGAGGGTGTTGCTCCAGTAGAGGAGATGAGGGCGTTGTCCCAGTAGAGAAGGTGAGGGTGTTGCTCCAGTAGAGGAGATGAGGGCGTTGTCCCAGTAGAGAAGGTGAGGGTGTTGTCCCAGTAGATGAGGCGGGGGTGTTGCCCCAGTAGAGAAGATCAGGGTGTAGTCCCAGTAGATAAGGTGGGGTGTTGTCCCAGTAGATAAGATGGGGGTGTTGCCCCAGTAGAGAAGGTGAGGGCGTTGTCCCAGTAGATAAGGTGAGGGGTGTTGCCCCAGTAGAAAGGTGAGGGAAGGTGAGGTGTTGCTCCAGTAGATAAGGTGAGGGTGTCGTGAGAAGTGTGCTGCCCCAGGGTGCAGGGGTGGCAGAGAAGGTGAGGGTGTTGCTCCAGTAGAGAAGGTGAGGGCGTTGTCCCAGTAGAGAAGGTGAGGGGTGTTGCCCCAGCAGAGAAGGTGAGGGTGTTGCTCCAGTAGAGAAGGTGAGGGTGTTGTCCCAGTAGAGAAGGTGAGGGTGTTGCTCCAGTAGAGGAGGTGAGGGTGTTGCCCCAGTAGAGAGGTAGAGAGAGGTGAGGGCGTTGTCCCAGTAGAGAAGGTGAGGGTGTTGCCCCAGTAGATGAGGTGAGGGTGTTGCCCCCCAGTAGAGAAGGTGAGGGTGTTGCCCAGTAGATGAGAAGGTGGGGGTGTTGCCCCAGTAGAGAAGATGAGGGTGTTGTCCCAGTAGAGAAGGTGAGGGTGGGTTGTCCCAGTAGATAAGGTAGGGGGGTGTTGCCCCAGTAGATAAGGTGAGGGTGTTGCCCCAGTAGAGAAGGTGAGGCGTGTCCCAGTAGAGAAGGTGAGGGTGTTGTCCAGTAGATAAGGTGGGGTGTTGTCCCAGTAGATAAGGTGGGGTGTTGCCCCTGTAGAGAAGGTGAGGGCGTTGTCCCAGTAGAGAAGGTGAGGGTGTTGTCCCAGTAGAGAAGGTGAGGGGTGTTGCCCCAGTAGAGAAGGTGAGGGTGTTGTCCCAGTAGAGAAGGTTGAGGGTGTTGCCCCAGTAGAAAGGTGAGGGTGTTGCCCCAGTAGATAAGGTGGGGGTGTTGTCCCAGTAGAGGAGGTGAGGGTGTTGTCCCAGTAGAGAAGGTGAGGGCGTTGCCCCAGTAGAGAAGGTGAGGGTGTTGCTCCAGTAGAGAAGGTGAGGGTGTTGCTCCAGTAGAGAAGGTTAGGCTGTTGCTCCAGTAGAGAAGGTGAGGGTGTTGCTCCAGTAGAGAAGGTTAGGGTGTTGCTCCAGTAGAGAAGGTGAGGGGGTTGTCCCAGTAGATGAGGCGGGGGTGTTGCCCCAGTAGAGAAGATGAGGGTGTTGCCCCAGTAGATAAGGTAGGGGTATTGCCCCAGCAGAGAAGGTTAGGGCGCTGCCCCAGTAGAGAAGGTGAGGGTGTTGTCCCAGTAGATAAGGTGAGGATGTTACCCCAGTAGATAAGGGGAGGGTGTTGCCCCTGTAGATAAGATGGGGGTGTTGCCCCAGTAGAGAAGATGAGGGTGTTGTCCCAGAAGATAAGGTGAGGGTGTTACCCCTGTAGATAAGGTGGGGGTGTTGTCCCAGTAGATAAGGTGGGGGTGTTGCCCCTGTAGAGAAGGTGAGGGCGTTATCCCAGTAGATAAGGTGGGGGTGTTGTCCAGTAGATAAGGTGGGTGTGTTACCCCTGTAGATAAGGTGGGGGTGTTACCCCTGTAGATAAGGTGGGGGTGTTACCCCTGTAGATAAGGTGAGGGTGTTGTCCCAGTAGATAAGGTGGGGGTGTTACCCCAGTAGAGAAGGTGAGGGTGTTGATCCAGTAGAGAAGGTTGGGGTATTGCCCCAGCAAAAAAGATGAGGGTGTTGCTCCAGTAGATAAGGTGGGGGTGTTGTCCCAGTAGAGGAGGTGAGGGTGTTGTCCCAGTACAGAAGGTGAGGGCGTTCTACCAGTAGAGAAGGTAAGGGTGTTGTCCCGGCAGAGAAGGTGAGGGTGTTGCTCCAGTAGAGAAGGTTAGGCTGTTGCTCCAGTAGAGAATGTGAGGGGGTTGTCCCAGTAGATGAGGCGGGGGTGTTGCCCCTGTAGAGAAGATGAGGGTGTTGCCCCAGTAGATAAGGTAGGGGTATTGCTCCAGCAGAGAAGGTTAGGCCGCTGCCCCAGTAGAGAAGGTGAGGGTGTTGCCCCAGTAGATAAGGTGAGGGTGTTACCCCAGTAGATAAGGGGAGGGTGTTGCCCCTGTAGATAAGATGGGGGTGTTGCCCCAGTAGAGAAGATGAGGGTGTTGTCCCAGAAGATAAGGTGAGGGTGTTACCCCGGTAGATAAGGTGGGGGTGTTGTCCCAGTAGATAAGGTGGGGGTGTTGCCCCTGTAGAGAAGGTGAGGGCGTTATCCCAGTGGATAAGGTGGGGATGTTGCCCAGTAGATAAGGTGGGGGTGTTACCCCTGTAGATAAGGTGGGGGTGTTACCCCTGTAGATAAGGTGAGGGTGTTGTCCCAATAGATATGGTGGGGGTGTTACCCCTGTAGATAAGGTGGGGGTGTTGTCCCAGTAGATAAGGTGGGGGTGTTGCCCCTGTACAGAAGATGAGGGCGTTATCCCAGTGGATAAGGTGGGGACAGCTGTCCCAGTAGACAATATGGTAGTCTTGTCCCAGTAGACGACGTTGGGTTGTTGTCCCAGTAAACAATGCGGGGTGTTGTCCCGTATATAAGTAGGGTTTTCCTTAGTACACAGTGCGGGGTAGATGTCCCAGTAGTGATAGAGTATTGATGATTATCGATACATGTATAAAACTAGTTCTTGTCCCTTTGGTGGTTGTTACTGTTTAACGCCGCACTCAGCTCTATTCCAGCTATATGGAGGCCTTTCTGACGTATACTAACTAAGGGCGTTTGTCCTTCTGACATATACGTACTGGGGATGTGTGTCCTTCTGATGTATACGTACTTGGGTGGGGTGTGTCCTTCAGACGTGTACATACTGGGGGAGGGTTGTCCTCTTGTCCTGATGATGTATACGTACTGTGGATGTGTGTCCTTCTGGGGTATACATACTGGGGATGTGTGTCCTGCTGATGTGTACGTACTGAGGACGTTTGAATGTCATCGTATCCAAAGTGCCAGCTTGATGCTTATTACCTGGATTATATGGCTCAATCCCCATCAATTACAGACCGCCGTGTTGGATATGCTGTATTAACTGTTGTTATATTAAGTCGAAACTAGGTATATGTGTAAATCAGAGTGAGTGAGTATAATTTTACGCCGCTTTTAGTAATATTGCAGCAACATCACGGCGGGGGACACCAGAAATGGGCTTCACACAATGTACCCATCTGGAGAATCGAACCCGGGTCTTCGGCGTGACGAGCGAACGCTTAAATCACTAGGCTACCGTACTGACCCTGTAAATCAGAGTGAGTGAGTTTAGTTTTACGCCGCTTTTGGCAATATTCCAGCAATATCACGGTGGTGGACACCAGAAATGGGCTTCACACATTGTACCCATATGGAGAATCGAACCCGGGTCTTCGGCGTGACGAGCGAACGCTTTAACCACTAGGTTACCCTGCTGCCCCTGTAAATCAGAAGTACAATGCATGTCGTAAAGGTTCTGTAGTGAAAGACGAAAACGAACTATTGTAATGGGGCAAGATACGAGATCAGTGATCATTACACATTCTTTAACCCTAATAACTTTCGTTTGGGTTTCTTGGACTGCACCGGTTCCATGATTGTCGTAAAAGCCGATAACATGAGTAGTTACAATGACTATGTGACCAAGTAACGTTGTACCAAGGTGAATTGTCTGTCATGTTATCAACCACTGGTTTGCCTGGCAAAGGGTCAGTTATTTAAAGGTCATCACGATACAGCTAGGGCACGTTCTAATGGTCTCATTTCTGGCACCATGTCCATGTCGAACATGGTTGATTCGGCCGGAACCCGGTTGACCTGGACTATGTTGCTGTGTTTTGTCAACAGCAGACCCTGATCCAGGGTTTTGCTAAACGTCGATATCTTGCATAAGTTCAGGTCTCCCCCTACCCACAATGGTGTTCTTGACTCTTAATATAATTGGCTACCGGTGACTATTCGTTTTTGTGCTGTCAACACATTGCCTGATTGCCATGCCATACAAACCGGTTATTTATTTCAAAATGGTATCCATTTAAGGGTGCGGGTTGGTATCTCAGTGGGCTAGCTTTTTAAACCCAGCATGTGTCTGTCTATTCGTCCGTCCGTCCGTTCTTCTGTCTATCCATCATATGTTATCATGGCAACAAGACCATATTCACATTCATTCCTATCACATTCTTTCCTATCATATTCACATTCATTGCCAGGATTATACGCCGTCGCTATGGCAACAAGATCGTAACCGATAAATAAATCACTTGCGTGTTCAGCATTTGAGCTGCTTTTGAGCATTTTATAGACGCTTGGTGTATTCTAATGCTCAGAGACAGAGTTATTCCCCTTTGGCCACCTGACAGAGTCGGCAGGCATGAGTGATAAATGTCAGAAACGTGTTTCAAGTATTCTGACATATTTGATGTGAGCTAACGATAGGGCCAACACCAGGAAACCCTTCCGTAAGATTTCTGTGCTACAAACCGAGTCCAATGTATGATTCCTACATCAGAAGCATCTTATCTTATAAGGACACCGGGTGTTCAATAAAGATGACTTCCAATATGTTCAAGGAATGTCAGCAACAATGAAGTATGTTACCATTTGAATAAAATATGTAAAAATATAGTGAATTTTTTTAAAAATTAAGACAAATGTACACCCAACTATTTATATAATCGGGAAAAGTTATGAATGTCAACTTCTGTGTTGTGAGGAACACGACATTTCCGTGTATGCCTATTCCTTTATCATTCATCATTTCACCTGATGAAGGCGTAGCAACGTAGTCCGAAACGTCATGTTCCTCATAATTTAGGAGTTGATATTCATAAATGTTCTCATTTATGTGTATCACTTCTAAATGCCGTTTTGAGATTTCGGGGAAGGATAACAATGTATGGATGAATAACTTCTTAATTACAGTGAGAGATTTTAGAAATTATATCTCACCACTCAAACTCACCACATAAACTGGCTATATCTCACCTCTCAAACTCACCATATACACTGACTATATCTCACATCTCAAACTCACCACATAAACTGGCTATATCTCACATCTCAAACGCACCATATACACTGACTATGACACACCTGTCACCCTCACATCTACACTGACTATATCTCACCTCTCAAAATCACCACATAAACTGGCCATACCTCACCTCTCAAACGCACCATATACACTGACTATATCTCACATCTCAAACTCGCCATCTACACTGACTATATCTCACCTCTCAAAGTCACCATATACACTGACTATATCTCACCTATTAAACTCACCGTATATACTGGCTATATCTCACCTCTCAAACTCACCATATAAACTGGCTATATCTCACCTCTCAAACTCACTTAATAAACTAGCTATATCTCAACACTGACACTCACTATATAAATGTAAAATTGCTATATCCCAACTCTCACACATTCGCCACAGACACTGGCCAAATGTCACCATTCACTCACCACATAAACTATCTACCGGTATTCACTCACCACACAAACTGGCCATATCTCACCGCTCATACTCACCACATAAAATGGCTATATCTCACCGCTCATACTCACCACATAAAATGGCTATATCTCATCACTCACACTCACCACATAAACTAGCTATATCTCGTCACTCACACTCACCACATAAACTATCTACCGGTATATCTCATCACTCATACTCACCACATAAACTAGCTATATCTCATCACTCACACTCACCACATAAACTAGCTATATCTCATCACTCACACTCACCACATAAACTATCTACCGGTATATCTCATCACTCACACTCACCACATAAACTATCTACCGGTATATCTCATCACTCACACTCACCACATAAACTATCTACCGGTATATCTCATCACTCACACTCACCACATAAACTATCTACCGGTATATCACATCACCACACTCACCACATAAACTATCTACCGGTATATCTCATCACTCACACCCACAACATAAACTATCTACCGGTATATCTCATCACTCACACTCACCACATAAACTATCTACCGGTATATCTCATCACTCACACTCACCACAGAAACTAGCTATATCTCATTACTCACACTCACCACATAAACTATCTACCGGTATATCTCATCACTCACACACTCACCACATAAACTATCTACCGGTATATCCATCACTCACACTCACCACATCACACTCTCCATAAACTATCTACCGGTATATCTCATCACTCACACTCACCACATAAACTATCTACCGGTATATCTCATCACTCACACTCACCACATAAACTAGCTATATCTCGTCACTCACACTCACCACATAAACTATCTACCGGTATATCTCATCACTCACACTCACCACATAAACTAGCTATATCTCGTCACTCACACTCACCACATAAACTATCTACCGGTATATCTCATCACTCACACTCACCACATAAACTAGCTATATCTCATCACTCACACTCACCACATAAACTATCTACCGGTATATCTCATCACTCACACTCACCACATAAACTGGCTATATATCATCACTCACACTCACCACATAAACTGGCTATATCTCATCACTCACCACATAAACTGGCTATATCTCATCACTCACACTCACAACATAAACTGGCTATATCTCATCACTCATCACATAAACCAGTCACCATACCACTCTCCTTTATCTCCTTCTACCAATCACCATACCACTTTCCTATATCTCCTTCCTAACTGTCACCATACCACTCACCTATATCTCCTTCCTACCTGTCACCATACCACTCACCTATATCTCCTTCCTACCAGTCACCATACCACTCTCCTATATCTCCTTCTACCAATCACCATACCACTTTCCTATATCTCCTTCCTAACTGTCACCATACCACTCACCTATATCTCCTTCCTACCAGTCACCATACCACTCTTCTATATCTCCTTAATACCAATCAACATACCACTCTCGTATATCTCCTTCCTACCTGTCACCATACCCACTCTCTCCTATATCTCCTTCCTACCTGTCACCATACCACTCTCCTATATCTCCTTCCTACCAGTCACCATACCACTCTCCCATATCTCCTTCCTACCAGTCACCATACCACTCTTCTTATATCTCCTTCCTACCAGTCACCATACCACTCTCCTCTATCTCCTTCCTACCAGTCACCATACCACTCTCCTATATCTCCTTCCTACCTGTCACCATACCACTCTCCTAAATCTCCTTCCTACCTGTCACCATACCACTCTCCTATATCTCCTTCCTACCTGTCACCATACCACTCTCCTATATCTCCTTCCTACCTGTCACCATACCACTCTCTATATCTCCTTCCTACCTGTCACCATACCACTCTCCTATATCTCCTTCCTACCTGTCACCATACCACTCTCCTACATCTCCTTCCTACCTGTTGCCATACCACTCTCCTAAATCTCCTTCCCACCTGTCACCATACCTCACTCTCCTTTCCTACCTGTCTCCTTCCTACCTGTCACCATACCACTCTCCTATATCTCCTTCCTACCTGTCACCATACCACTCCTCTCCTAAATCTCCTTCCTACCTGTCACCATACCACTCTCCTATATCTCCTTCCTACCTGTCACCATACCACTCTCCTAAATCTCCTTCCTACCTGTCACCATACCACTCTCCTACATCTCCTTCCTACCTGTTGCCATACCACTCTCCTACATCTCCTTCCTACCTGTCACCATACCACTCTCCTAAATCTCCTTCCTACCTGTCACCATACAACTCTTCTATATCTCCTTCCTACCTGTCACCATACCACTCTCCTATATCTCCTTCCTACCAGTCACCATACCACTCTCACCTATATCTCCTTCCTACCAGTCACCATACCACTCTTCTATGTCTCCTTCCTACCTGTCACCATACCACTCTCCTATATCTCCTTCCTACCTGTCACCATACCACTCTTCTATATCTCCTTCCTACCTGTCACCATACCACTCTTCTATATCTCCTTCCTACCAGTCACCATACCACTCTTCTATATCTCCTTCCTACCAGTCACCATACCACTCTCCTATATCTCCTTCCTACCAGTCACCATACCACTCTCCTATATCTCCTTCCTACCAGTTCCCATACCAAACGCCTATGTCTCCCTTTTCACACTCCTCACACTAAACTGCTCTTTCTACCCGCTTACTCGCTGAACGCCACACAGCTATATCCCCTTCTCACACCGCCACTAGCCACTCTCACTACCAACTCTGCTGTCTCTTCCTCTTACTAACCGTCGCTATGCCGCACCCTTCGCTTCTGCGGGATGATTGGCCGTTCTGCAGGTGGCCTGTCAGCTCACCCGTCACGTGGAGACTCACATGTGACTTGTTTGTGTTCCTCGTTGTGATATGTCTGCTATGTGGCTGAACGGGAAGCTTCACTTTACAAATTAATCAGCTTCATTGCCTCATTTCCCGAGTCGTTTTCCTCTGTAACATTTCTACTGAATCATGTTTCCTTCCTGGGTTGCATTTGTCTGATGTACGTTCAAACTTGTTTTCATCTTTTTTTTCCCTTACTCCTTTTCAGCAGTCTCTCTCTCTCTCTCTCTCTCTCTCTCTCTCTCTCTCTCTCTCTCTCTCTCTCTCTCTCTCTCTCTCTCTCTCTCTCTCTCATCCTTCCACCTCTCTCTCCTCCAGCTCTCATTCCATCTCTCCTCAACTCTCTTCCTCCCACCAATTCCCTCTTTCTCTCCTTCCATCTGTCTCTCTCTTTCCAGATCCCTCTTCCTCCCACCAATTCCTTCTTTCTCTCCTTCCATCTGTCTACCTCCCGTACAACACTTCAGTCTCACCTTTAACGAAGTACATATGTACCTGTCCTTCTGTAAGCACCACCACCACCCAGTCACACCCCACCCATTCCCTTCTCACACTCGCACACACCTGGTGCTGAGCACCTGGGCCTCCCCTTGGCCTCCCCTTGGCGATAATGTACTTAACATTGCGAAAGTAGGGTAGGTACATACTCCATATATGCGAACTCACTGTGCTAATCGTCTCAGTGATCCATTTTCAGTCTCTACATGAACTACTTTATCATTCATGTTCACACGCATAACGGTATGCATTCGCTTAACATTATTATTTAAATAGGTCAGGATTTGATTTTACCACGGCACGCCGGGTGTATTACACTCAATAATAAACAGCCCTAAGTACGCATGTGACCCTTGATTCGACACGACCCCGTACTATGTGCGTAAGGACAGTGTACTTTGACAGTCTGCGTACGCAGATCCTGTTTAAATATGTTTATTCAGTTCAGCGGCAAGTATGAACGTGAATAGTTAATCCAAAGGTATATTTTTAGTCCATGAATCAGTTTGTTGGTGTTTCGTCTCTAAGGGGTGCGGTGACTCTATTACGGCGAGGCATAGCCTGTACAGTGACAGGGGCGGTGCGGTAGCCTAGTGGTTAAAGCGTCCGCTCGTCACGCCGAAGACCCGGTTCGATTCCCCACATGGGTACAATGTGTGAAGCCAATTTCTGGTGTCCCACGCCATGATATTGCTGGAATATTGCGGCGTAAAACCAAACTCACTCTCTGTATAGTGACACGACGGGACAAATACCCCCAGAACTCACCCCTATTGTACATGCTAGTTTTACGCATCCCTCTATCAATGCATAACAATGATTTGTAACGTTTAAATGAAATCAGAGACTTTTAAAAATCTCATTGCCTGGGGACGTGTTTCATGTAGCTCATAGCCTTTGTGCATCTGTAACTCACGCTAATATGTATTAAAGTGACTCCCTGCATTTAAAGCATTTAAGGTCACGATATGGCTGAAATATTGCCGATGTGACTTTAAATCTTAACTCACTCACTCACTAAGGCATTTAAGAATGAATATAGTTTAACATAATATATTGCAAGTTCCAATCATATGGATCATTATCTAGTCTTCATTTCTGTCAGTCAGCGAATTATATTGAAATGATTTATCAATGACACCTGGGTACGTTGTGAACTTCTGTAAGATAACCGCTACAGGTGTCAAACAGGTGCCCGACTCAGCGACGGCACTGACTCAGCCACAAAGGTCAAGTATGCAAACAGGGTCACTTAACTATTGCGAAACTGTGCATACTCGATAGCTGATGATAAGGAATACGGTGTTCATATAATGAAAGACTTTTGGGGTATGATTATATAGAGAAATAGTATGTCTATGTGGTTGATGATGAAGAGAAATCGTGTGTCCAATTTTTGATGATATACAGATTAGTGTGTCCCCTGAATTGATGCGCTAGATACGTAGTGTGTTAACATAGTTGAATATATTGAGAAACATTGTTTCCATATTGCTGATGAGTTGGTAAAGTATGTCCATATGGTTTATAGGGAGAAACAGTGTGTCCATACAGTTGATGACAAGGGGAACAGAGTGTCAGTATAGTTGATATAATGGAGAAGTGTAGTTGATCAATAGTGTTGATCGTATGATGTGTCGATGTAGTTGGTGATATTGAAAAAGATAGAGTGTCCGTACAGCTGATTTGATATATTAGGGAAATAGTGTGTCCGTACAGCTGATGTCATTGGGAAATAGTGTGTCCGTACAGCTGATTTGATATATTAGGGAAATAGTGTGTCCGTACAGCTGATGTCATTGGGAAATAGTGTGTCCGTACAGCTGATTTGATGTAGTGTGTCCGTACAGCTGATGTGATATATTAGGAAATAGTGTGTCCGTACAGCTGATGTGAAAGGGAAATAGTGTGTCCGTACAGCTGATGTGATTGGGAAATAGTGTGTCCGTACAGCTGATTTGATATATTAGGGAAATAGTGTGTCCGTACAGCTGATGTGATGGGGAAATAGTGTGTCCGTACAGCTGATGTGATATATTAGGGAAATAGTGTGTCCGTACAGCAGCTGATGTCATGGGGAAATAGTGTGTCCGTACAGCTGATTTGATATATAGGGAAATAGTGTGTCCGTACAACTGATGTCATGGGGAAATAGTGTGTCCGTACAACTGGTGTGAAAGGGAAATAGTGTGTCCGTACAACTAATGTCATGGGGAAATAGTGTGTCCGTACAGCTGATGTGAAAGGGAAATAGTGTGTCCGTACAACTGATGTCATAGGAAAGGGAAATAGTGTTTCCGTACAGCTGATGTCATAGGTAGATGATGATATTTGAAAATAACGAGTTCGTCATGTAAACAGTTCTATTTCAACTATATCTCCAACACGGGACTACAGTACGCGGTGATATATAGTTAATAAAATTAGTTAGGGAAACGCGTGTTTTGAATAATTACAATGACTTGTACTGACTATATATAGCTACCAGCTGTCAAAAGATTATATAGATCCAAATACACCAAATCCGCTGTACATCAAACAAGACTTGTACTGATCAGGATGATGGCTTATGGCTCCAACCTGATCAAACAAATGTGATTTAAAAGATTTAATGAAATGAGTAACCAAATGTTTCCAAGCCACACCGACGCTGATTTTATGCATTTTATGTATACTAAACGCGGATTCTGCAATACATGAAAACTTTTACTATGTTACATTGAAAATTCGCTCTATGTAACATGCAAATGTGATTTATGTATGTTACATTTAAAATCTGTGTTTGTTTTGGTATATTAAGTTACATTTAGAATTTATTCAATGCTAAATTACTTTCTGTTTCCAAGACGCCCGCCGATTCTAATATATTATTTCATGTTACACCACGTGCAAACTATACGTAATGTTACATTTAGAGCTTATTACACGGTACATTCATAACTTTCTGGAAAACAGAAGCTGATTCCATGACATATATATAGTAACTCCTATAAGCTTCATCAGAAAGAAACGGTTTGACGTCGATGCAGTGTCAAAACATCAGAATAAAAACTCATTCTTATGGAAAATAGCACTGACAGAGGATGTCGTAACTGAGATGGATTGGTTTCTGGTAATGTGCGTTAAATAACACATACTTAGCAGTATGTGTCGTGATTTGTTTTCCCTGAACTTGTATAATTATGGAATCCTAGAAGGGACATTGTCGCGTTGTCGCGTTGTCGCCCTCACAAAAACAAGCAAAATGTCGCCAAATTGTACGACAATGCGACAATGTCCCTACTAGGATTCCATACATAACACTGATTCTCCAACGCATGTATATAAATCTTTGAATGACGTTCTCCGTTACGAGAAAGACTTTTAAGAATAGATCAGTAGAAAAACACATTATATCTCAAATGACACTACGTACATAAACATCTGGATAAGAAAGTAGCCAGTTATACATCGGTATCGTATTTCTAATGTCTATGGTGTATAAGTGTTATTTCACGCCCACTTCTTCCAGGCCTACACAAAATTACGTTCTTGTACATTTCAAAATAGATCATGACGGTTAGAACTTTTCAAGTGAGAACGCCGTTTTGTCTTGGAGTCCGATGTCAAAGAATAAATCGACCAATACGGTGTGTTACATGGTTGACATATTCTGAATCTTATTTGTGTCAAACGTGGATAATGGGCACGTTAACGTCTATGTACCTGAACATTTTTCGTGACGTTGTGTTATATTGGCGTTTATATATGTGTGTATACACCGTTTCAGATACACGTTATTTCTTGCGTGTACTATAGGCTGAGGAACTGCTATTTGATTATGTTTCATTTCAGATCCAAATATCATGTTGGAGACAATTTATCCAGTGACAACTAAAGAACATTTCGTCATGGGTTTTAAGTTTTAAAGTATATTTAAGTTTAAACTTTTCAAAAATAATAATAAACATTCGCATAACATATAACTAATCCAAGTCATCGTAAAATCAAATACATTTCAATTAAATCAAGAAATTTGCTTTTCTCGACGCAAATTTACGTTTCATGGTTACAGACATTTTACAAAAGAAATTACAGTTCTACAGGAAGGACCTGTAGGTTACAACCTAAGGAATAAAGTCTGAATGTCGTTCCTCAGGTGACATCAGCGCTCACTGGCGGACAGAGATTAAACCATGCATCGACAATTTTCACATGATATGAACAAAGAATCAACATGATATGAAATAATGTTGAGTGTACACAAATTCCTTATGATTCATTTCCTACGCAATACTCATACTTTCACAAATTTACATACATTGCTTTTGACATATTGTTGCATGAATTAGTGATGGTTAAATTTTCATTATCAAATTTATTAAATTAGCACCATCTCTATTTGGAAGTCATTTATAAATAGAATCCCTTTCCATCATCAACAGAAAGACGTCCGTCATTCTGTCGTGACCATTTCATGAATTTCTGAATCGCTATAAACTATGGTTGATACCGGGCTACCACGACATTGTGCTGATGATGTAATCAAAATTCAATGAACTCTTTGAATACATGCAATGGAAATGTGCGTTTTGGGTTTGAATGTAACAAGTCAGTTCCGTGGTGTGTGGTGCTCAATGGCACATTGAACAATCTTCCATTGACAAGTATATTACGACCCGTGAAGTTCCGGCCTTCAGCAATCGATGCTTGTCGTAAGAAGCGACTAACGGGATAAGGGTTATGCACATCCAAGACATCAAGCCTGACCACCCGATCCCGTTAGTCGCCTCTTATTCCAATTGCGTAGATCGATGCTCATGATGTTGATCATTGGATTGTCTGGTCCAGGCTCGATTATTTACAGAATGCCGTCATATGGCTGGAATATTGCCGAGTGTTGCGTTAAACAAATAACAAACAAAGCATATTAGGTCCGTCTGTAAAAAAATTCATGTCTGGA